CCAAAGCCTCATAGTTCAATATCAAGTCAAATGCCTCTCATGTCCAGACTACTGTAAAAGACGCATATTGCACCTGTTGCCACATAATATACTTTACAACGAGAGTAGCAGACAGAACACCGACCGTTGAGACGATAGACGCCTTAGTGAGCACCGAGAAACGGATATCGGATGCTTATCATGTCGATGCGATCGATCGGGGATCGTCACTTTAAATGAGTTCATGATAATGAGGAACATGCTGCATTATGATCAGCCCTGACTGGAAGGCTTTTCCAACATCATGCATAACATGTCAAATCATTTCGAGTAGGTCTAGCTCGGCAGCTCAGCCACCAACAGTATCCTTTAGGCTCATTGTGACGACTCGAACGTCTCCCAAAAAATCCAAGTTATTCCTATGTCTTGAGCGAGGCTAAGCAGGTTACCCACACGACGGTCAACCTCATTGAACTCTGCAGCGGCGCCAAACATACACCGCGGCTCCTGTGACGCCGCGGCATAGCGCCGTTGGAGGAACCCGTTTACAAGCTCGCCATCCCTCAATCCTGCCTAAGTGCTCTCCGAAAACTTGTTCATAAGTCAATCAGAGGCCGCCAAGTGGATGCCATCCCTGAGCCGATACACTTCCGGCAACGGCTGCGCAGTGTTTAGCAGTGAATCTCAGCTGTGAAGAGAACGCCGTGTGTAGAGAAAGTGAACTCTAATAGAACTGACGCGGAACAGATAATCTCACCTTTCACAGCTTCCTCAACGGCTTCATCGGATAGATCGATTCTGGTACGCGGAAGCATTCAAAATCATCCACATTCTCACGTGTCTCATAAAACTCGCAAGACAAAAACTTGCTTGGCCAATGATTATCAGATCGGCCACTGTGCAGATAGTCTCAGGAAACACGAGGAAACATTGGGCACTTCCGTGACGTGAGGAAGATCCGAAAAAGATACATCCAGAAACTGGGAGGCTCCCTACTATACTTACCATTATGCACTGCTGGTCGGTCCTTGCGCAGACTGGCGCATCGCACACCTCTCTGGCGAGCACCAAAGCGAGTGCTTATTCGATGTTACTGCCTGCGGTGACAATCGCACGACTAGTAGCTTCTATCGTCATTGAATCACTCAACGCTCGTTAGAGAACATAATATCCTTACGCCACGATGTGGTTAAAACTATTCCATGAGTTAGCATGAGGGAAGATGATTCGGAAGGCACATACCCAACACCTCGTGTGCAGACGCTCAGCATTAAGGACGAGTTTATCTCAATTGTTTCGATATGATTTCCGTAGTCCACGAAGAAGATACATCGGGCACAACGACGTACATAAAAAATCTGACAACAATAACCCCGGCGGAACTTGAACCCGCAACCTTCGGCTCCGGAAACCGACGCGCTTCCATTGCGCCACGAGGTCTATAGATAGTTAGTGACTTTAGTCGACTCGCTGAGTAAGGATATATATCGTTCATTCTGCCTAATGAAAGTCCATCTACCGAACGAGACTGAGAGTCGAGCATAACACCACCGAAACGTTCATCGGCTCCCCATGATAACAGCACAGCCACACTGCGCTGAGGCACTTAACTTGACATCGTAACCGTCCAAGCTAAACGTCTCTCTCGACACT